AGAATAAATTCCTGCAGCCCATGCCCAGATCACCGAAAATTAAAACCTGTATGAATCTAAATCTCGGGGCACAAGCCCCTGGATTTTATCCTGGCGCATCCGTCCCCTATCATAATATGACTCCTAGCCAAAGCACAGCCCATTTACAAAAAGTTATGTCGAAATGGAAATGCCTTTTCTTCTGGGCCTGAAGCCAGATTTGCCAAAATGGCAGTCGTGCCGCGAATCTACTCAACAATTTTATCAAGGGCTCAGAAGAAGCGACCTCCAGACCTGACCAACCTGCCTAGGAAACGAGCAGCCTCATATGATCATGCGGTTTGCTGGGTGGGCTGCATCCCATGACGTTTGGATGGCGCACGGCCTTCATCACCTGAGAGATCTCCAGGCTGGAGGGAAAACCGCTGCAACAGGCCCAACTGGCAGCATGTCTTTCCATTGGCCAAGCTTCTGCGCAAAGAATCTACTTGTTGTGAAATCTGCTGGACAATCGGCAACCCCTGCATGTCCAAGCCTTAATTTCCCGGAGCGCCGTAAAGCCGACTCCCCCGATGTCGCGGTCAACAGCCGAAACCTCCACTGTTCTTGTCCAACGACAGAAAAAAAAAACACACACACACACACACACACACACTTGAAGTCAACAAGCAAGGGCAACACATGATGAGGCGCCGTTCAATGAGACCGCGTGCAAGAAGCCTTCGCTTTCTTGATCGCGACAATCTGTGCAGTCTTGGTGTGTAAAGCCTGAGCAGACAAAACAACGTCCTCCATTTAGTTCGAGGCACCACAAATTACCCTGGCCCACCCCAAGCCTTGTGCACCTTTCCATAGGTACCCTCCCCGATGTTGGACTCCAGCCGCTCATACTTGGAGGCTGGCGAGGCCTGATTGGTCCAGCATGGCCCAACGTTGCATACCCTCATGGCATAACATAACATATCACTCTGCCAGCAACTCCAGTGACAAAAAAAAGTACGACAAAGGAATGATTCTTCACTTGTATGTGAGGCCTTCAGCGACTCCGCCGGTGAAGTTACCGAGGGCAGCGAGATTGGGGAAGCTGCCTGCACACACCGCCACACCGTTGCGAGAAAGCAACTACAGCCTGGGGCCTTCATCTTATATAGGGATATAACCCCAGTACTGAAATCCGATGGAAAAGCAAATGGAAGCTGGATTTATATTTCATCCACCGAATATGGCCTGACCCCTACGCGGAATAGCGGGCGAGTCGACCCTGTAGTCGTACTCCTGGGCATGCCAAGGATTTTGCTGTCCCTGAGGTAGCAAAGGAAAGCTAGGTGCATAGAGCCTATAGAGAACAAATCACACTATGCTCCTGAAAACAAATGCTCAATGTTGGAACCTACTGACTGGCAAAACAAAGAAGAGACCCTGCTATAATCTGCGGTTTTGAGGAACAGGCCCTCATGTGCTCACGGCTGCAGGCCAAGGGCACTTCAGCGTTCAAACCTTTAGCTCTCGGTGCCAAATATTCCCTGCAAATTTACTCCGAGCTTTATTACTACAACCTTGAATTCTCTGCTCCTCCCGTAATCAACTTCCGGCCGTACCTAATCAGAATTGAACATGCCAAGCATGTACGCGTACCACCCATGCCATTCAGGTTTGCAGATTACGGTGCCTGCTTGCTGCTGACTCGGTTGCTTTCTTCGGTCTCTTCGAGCCACTGGCTAGTATCATTCAGTCCAAAACTCCTAAAGGCATTGCACACAATCACCAACTGACAATACCAGGGCTGCGGCTACAGCTAGCAGCTGATGCTCAATTCGTGCAGCGGCCCTAATCTTTTCGAAGAAGCATACGCGTTCTCATCCTGAAGCTGGGGCTACTTAGAAACTCATGTCCTGGAGATGCCGCAAGGGCTCTGAAAGTGGGAGTCTCTAATAGCATCTAGAATCTAGAACGCAAGGAGATACCCAGGACCTGAACGCCGCTGAGGCATAGCAGTACTCCACTGCCACGAGATCATGAAATGCCAACTGCTTCTCATTTCACATTGACTTTCTAGGTCCTGCTGTCATTGGATCCTTGCTGGAGTGCTGCGTAGCATCTCTGCAACATGCTGACAAGCTATATGCGCCGTGGTGAAAAACAACTCAGCGAAGCATGTCGCATAACCTTGCAGAAGTCTACTCAAATCAAGCGCGACTCGAATACAAACAGCGCAACCGCAGTAACCCCATGGAGAGCTCAGAACGTGCTTGCGTCGAAGTTGTGCATAAATGCATTAATCAATAGACGCTGCCATCACGCATGTCTCCCAGCAACAAGTGGTCCGCATCTCATGTAACGAGGGTAAAGCATTGAGACGAGTGTACTGCACGGAGCCCCTGTGCAAAGGCAGAAAATGCCGAGCTCGCCTGTTTAATGGCCGCCTGATTCCGCTGCAGCACTGCCCTCCATCTTGTTGTGGGCATAGTTGAGCTCACCACGCCTCTTGAAAACAGGCGACCGAGTGAAGCAGGCTGAAAAGTGCCTGCGATTCTTTCAGAACTTGGTTCGTGTTCTGGTGGCTGGAGAACGTAGGATTGGTAACTGCCGTCTTGATTGCGGTTTATTCATTCTAGAAGATGCCGCCTCATGTTCTGAAAGTAGACGCCGCTCAACATGGCCTCCACAGGTAGGCAAGACATGTAGATGCTACGCAGCGCATGTTTGCTTGCTAGTGGTTGGGAATCAGGGAATACAATTTTTGTATAATCCCTATAATCCTATAATTCCCTATATAACATATTCCATTACTTCGTTGCTACTAACCCCCAATAAGCAATAAGCTTATGGTCATTGCAAGGCAAGGTCCACGCTCAGAGTCTGACCACGGTCCAAACCAGTGGAATCTGCATACCAAACATGGGCTTCAGACCCATGGACCTGTGTCACTATATTTTAACGGGTTATATGGGGATTTAGAGGGAAGCTACTATATCATTCACTACGGTAATGGCTTTATGAGGGTTATGTCGTTACACGAGCTGCGAGATTTGATGCCCCTGTTAAGCGAGGAAGAAGAAAGTGTTGTGGTTGCAAATATCAAGCACCGACACAATGCCATGAAGCCGGGGGCTTCAAACAATCAAGGTGAGGACTTGCAGATGTTGAAGCCATCGCGGATCAAAGACAGCCTCAGAATCAGAACTGAATGGAATTCTGTGGGAAACTGCCCTCATCGTTCCAAGGTTGTCCACGACATGTAACATGTAGCCACGTTTGAATCTTGTCGTATTCTACGACTAAGCGAGGCGCATCTTCGCTTCCAGGGTGCGCGAAGGCCCAAGTATGAGAACGCAATGAAGCTTTCAGCCACAGTTGCTGCAGGAGTCAGAAATACTGCTCCAAACCATGCATATGAAGGCTCAGGCGCCCTGGCTTAGCCTTCCGACTACAACAAATCCGTTTGCTGGAGGTTCCAGATATGGGGTTTATAGCTACACTTTTGCGGCTGACCATCATCAGCAGACTTCGTTTGCGACTGACGAAGGCTCTGCCCCGAATCCTTGCCATATGGATCCCGATGTTTGGCCAATTTCTTAGTTCCAAACACCATGCATGACACCTTAGCACCGTATAAGTTATTTGGAAACTCTGCTGAACGGTCAAGACGGCGCACTTTGCAGCGGCGCGGAGCGGTGTGAAACGTGAAACAGGTTTAACTGTCTGGGGCTCGGTGGGTTTCGTCAGGGATTTGGGATTCCCAAAAAAGCTCAAATTTGGGGAGACGGCCTACAAATGCTGTCATATAATAAGCCCCGAAGCACGACCCCGAAGGTTCCAGAATCCCAGTGAACAGTCACTGTCTTCCCTACCGAGCAGGTGGGATGGGCCCTGACACCAGGACAAAGGCAGGCCCTACTCTGCAGGGAGTGGGTAAATGGCGCCAGCACTTCATAGCCTCCAAATCCACATTTTTCCCTTTGAAAACTATCCGGGGGAGATGGTCGAGCCCAGTACTCGGTCGAATAACGAGGAACGCGCCGCTTCAGGATTCCCAGTCTGGTCGAAGTCATGGATGACTTGCAGGAAGTTCCGATGCTTGAAACACCTAAGAGGGTGTTTTAGGGATTGGAGCTCGGGGTCGTCTTTTCAGGCCATCCATCCACGCGCTCCCAGAAATGGATTTTTCCTTGCATAAAATTTCACCAAAGCAACAATTGCAACGCTTGATTGAAGGGGATGGGGATTCAAACCTGTTCTGCGTGGCTGCACTGCTCTTGTCCAAAACCTACCACAACAAGCAGCAAAGTCCGCTACTATCTTTCCCTGTGGACTGTTTTGAATGTAGCGTTCAGAGGGCTTGGAGGCTGGAGGGTTTCAACACCTCCCTTCCGTCCGTTTCGCCCCCGTGCTGAAAAGTAGGTGTCAAGAACCGGAAAAGGTTTCCGGGCCAAACTCCAGTTTCGGCTTGGTGGGAATTGAATAACAACCGGGCTCAGCGGGCGCGGGCTGACCTCAATGAAGCCCAGCTTTGTTGAAGTCTGGGGCTCAGCGGAGCTCAGGCCCAAGCAAAGGCTTGAAATGAGTAGGCCAGCTGGCCTAAGCGAAACAGAGCCAGCGGGCCTGCTCAAGTGAACCTGCTGAAGCGACAGAGGGCTTAGTCACACCCAAGAGATCTTGGCCACGCGCGGACTGGCAGGGCTATGGACGGCTAAGCCTAAGTAACTGTACAGAAGGCTAAGTAGGCTCATGGCTTGTCCTTCACCTGGGCAACAGCGGTTGAGGCTGGATTGAAAGCAGGGTCTTGCAAAGCTTTGTTCGACTCGAACGCTGCGACGCATTGTGAGAGGGCATCACTCTAGACCTCTGTGGGCCAAGAGCGGCCATTCATACGATGGCGTCGCAGTTATGGAAACTCGTTTGAATCCCACGGTTGGCCAGCGTACCAGTGGTACACGTTTGCATCCTTGGAAAGAAAACAACATAAGCATCCTTATTGTTTCGGTGATCAAAATTTTGTCGAAACTGTTGCCCCGTGGGCTTTGCGTTTTGCTAGCAAGGCCTGAGCAGGGCATAATGTTAGCCTTTAAGCATTCGGGCTGCATCAAAATTCCCTGCTTGGCAAGTCTCTTGCTCAAGCTGTCCACATAACGGAGCTTTTCCTGCGTCCTGAAGTAACAAAAGTTATGACCACAGGTATAGTTAATATTCCAATCATTAAGTCAGTAATCACATGAATGTACTCGATTGCACAGACAACAGTTGCGCGCCACTTTTTTTTCATGGGGCAAACGACATGTGGCACAGGTCGGGTTGCGCACAAGCAGTGGCATCAAGCCACGCACGGGAGATGATGTGTCCAACACATCTGAAGTATGCCCAGCATACTCATGGCCAAAGGCCATATCTGATTTTTCATCACAAGACGTTTGACTCCCCCTACAGCTTGTCTTGTGCATCCACTGCCAAGTCGTCTGCCATGGTTAAGACGTGTTGGCACATGAAGGTACTCGCGTGTACCAGTGGAAAGCGCACACAACATGTTGTCAACCTTCGCGGACACACACAACATGTTGAAAGAGTCATCAACCTTCGAAGCAAACGATCCAAAAGCTGCCCTGGCTGAATCCTTATCATCCATGAACCAAAGAGAATCCTCCTTTTCTAAATCAGACTTTTCCAAAGAAGCTTATTCACCAGCCCTCGGAGCATGTCAGCTTGACCAACCAGTTGCTTCTTTCCGTCTTTCCTCCACGAGTCAACGATTCTTTGTGGCACTACCTCCCCGAAATATCTCTTGATACCATTAGACGAGTCGTAGAGCACGGACGGCACCACGCTTGACAGATTCACCATTGTCCTCGCAGGCCTCATAGGTGAAGATTACGAGGGGCACGCAATTAATCCGTGCCTCAACTTGCCTGGGCGGCGTCTCACTAATGGTATAGCAGCACGTCTGACTCACTCAAGAAGGCATTCTGATTCTGCACAATGCGTCTAGACAAAATCCTGACTGGACACATGGCCACCCTGCCGAAGGTGTCTGTTGAGGCGTACATGAGCTTCCCTCTCAACTTGGATAGCTCCGTATGGCGCAATTGCTTTTAATCACAAATAGTCTCAATGAGATCCTCGAGCGTGTCGACTCGCCCTTCTTTGTTGCTGATCTCAAGGACGTTGTCAACTGCTATATACGCAGGCTGAAGCTTGTGCCCAACATGTTGAACACCTTTGCGAGTGGCAACGCTTTACGCTCGTCCTCTGCAACCTTTCATCCAAGCATCCTGAGGATTAAT